TGACTGCAGCAGTGGTGTAATGACTCGGCGATGACTGCTTTCAACGCCCACTACAGGTCGTAGAGGTCACGAGATCATCCCCTAAATGCCGAAAAAGCATTCATGACACGTCCTTATCGATTACCGAATCCGCCGACAAGGTGACGAAAACAGGGAAACCCGCGACGATTGTCCACGGTCCGTTGGTGGCCGAACTAAGGGAGGTGAATGCATAGGTAATGAATTTAATGCAGAAAATAATTTCTTAAAATAATATTTTTTTTGAAATAGGAAGTAATGCTAAAACAACAAGTTATTTTGTGCCGCATGTGGCAAGACTACAGGGGTCGGTTGATGTTAGAGTGGGCATTGCTTTACCAATCTAGCTTCCTCTTAAGGACTCCAACGGAAGCGAAACATAAAAAATCCTGGGACAGAGCATGCCTAGTTTCGCCCACTCTGTTTTCCAGTCTGGTCTTTGTCACACACATTTGAATGGATGAGCTCACACGTTCGTAGTTGTTGCTAAATCGATGAATTCCCCAGGTAGAAGGCAACAGTCCTGCCTGCGCGTATAAAGAATGCTTGCGAATGCTCTTCGTCAGTTGCCGTTCTGATGAAGTTAAAAAGATGAACATCGCCGAAAAATATAACGCTATGACAATCCAGTTCACAAAAGTAGTCGTAGACGTACATAATGAACAGTGCAAGGGGGAGAACGTAGCCTTGGGGAACACCTTTCTCAAGCGCAAACTCCAAGAACTGCTGGTCGCCAAGTAGGAGGCTTCGCGTGCACGTCGGGAGAATGACTGAGTCTGTGCAGGAGTCATTGATGTGGGACACTATCGAAGGCCTTCTTAAAGTCCATATAATTTATTATAAGCGGGCCTCCTCCATCAACTGCTCGTTTCCAACAATCTATTTCGAGCCTCCGTTTAAAGAATAAATTGAGCCTTCATTCGAATTGTTTCTGTCCAAAGAATACGCGGAGGCCGGTGCATTATCTAGCCATTATAGATAATTAAATTGTGCTCCATACTCTGCTAAGACCCATTGGGCCTTAAATATATTGATATTATAGCATATTCCAGTTGAAAAAAGCGCAACCGTTGGCATGAAAAAAGTACCTCTTACCTTTTCTTTATTGGCTTATACTACTTTGAGTGATTAGGTACGTGGATGATCCGGTACGCCGATTGAGCATCTCTTAAGTCTAAAGACCTTTTAGCACTGATATCACCTCAGTGATCCGCAGAAGTGCGTTGAAGAGACCTTGGAACTGAACGAATAAAGGTTCAGTATATTTTCTCAAATAATTCCTTATCGATAAAGAGAAAAATTCGTTAAATAGCAATGAGACCCATATATGCTACTGCTATTTAACTATGTCTCTGATGACGAATCCGCGACCAATCTCGAAAAGTCAGGCGAATACAAGTATCGTCCCAGCGATTGAGGCGTCTTCTTCTAAAAGAGCACACTGCTCGTCCTTTTG